TAGGGTAGGGGTAGGACAATAAAAATAGAAAGGAAAATAGGAGAGAAATCATTGTTGCAGAATTGACAGGACTGAATGTCTGACTGCTTTGTGGTGGATGACAGCCTAAAAGAACATGAAGGTTATGTCAATTATATTAACCTACGTGTCTAAGGAGTATGGTAGTATCATTAATTAATAGATGTTAATTGATCAATTTGGAAGTAAATAACAGAAAACTATTAAGTGATTTAAAATATAAGGTATATCTATTACCAGAAAAAGAAATCAGGGTATAGGTGCTTAATGTTCTCAAAGTAGCTCATTGGCTAAGGGGCTCAATAATGTTAATGGCCAGCTTCTGGTGTTTTCTTCATGGCTATAAGATGGTTGATGTAGTTCCAGGCAGCAGTAAGTGTTTAAGGTAATAAGATGCCTGCTGTATCAGTCCTACATGAAGGAAACAAAAACTTTTCCAGAGACACTCCAACTTCTCTCTACCCTGTTGAATTCCTCTTATGTCATATTAGCAAAAAGAAAGGCTGAGAAAGTGTTTAACTTCTCCTGGTTCTACAGTAAAGACAAACAAAGGAGAATATGATTGGGAATAAATGTTAAGTCATACAGTCAATAGTGTTAGACTCAGGTCCTGACTTCTTTCTGGGGAGAAAAGACTTAGGGAGTCAAATTAGGGATTTGTTTTCAAACTTGTTGTGGTTAAGGAAACATTAAGATATCCAAGTGGAAGGGCAGACGAGATAGTCATTAAGATATAAATAACAGGTGATAGTGTAGAAATGGATGAAATTAGAAGAAACAAGTCTACAATAAAAGAAACTGCAAATGTTGGCGAGATAGTGGAGAAACAAATCAAATTCATTACTGGTAGGAATGAAAAATAGTACAGCTACTCTAGAAGATAGTTTGGTAGTTTCTTCCAAAACTAAACATTCTTATCATACAACCCAGCAATTGAGTCCTTGGTATTTCTCCATATGAGCTGAAAATTTTATGTCCACAAACAATTCTGCAAATGGATGTTTATAGAAACTTTCATACTTCATTTTCATTTCATATTCAAAGTTGCCAAATTCTGGAAGCAAGCAAGATGTCCTTCAGTAGGTGAGTAGATAAATAAACTGTGGTACATCGAGAAAATGGAATACTAAACACTAAAAAGACATGAGCTATGAAGCCATCAAAAAAATATAGAGAAAGTTTAAATGAATACATAATGTATGATTCCAACTAAATGACATTCTGGAAAAGGCAAAACTACGGAGACCATAAAAAGATTAATGGGTGGCAGATATTGGGAGAGAAAAATAAATAGGTAGAACACAGAGGATTTCTAGAGTGAAACTCTTCTATATGATACTGCAGCAGTAGATACATGTAATGTACCTTTGTTAAAATCTGTAAAATGTACAGCACTAAGAGTGACCCTTAATGTAAACTGTGGACTGTGGGCAAAACTGATGTAGATTCATGGATTGTGACAAACATACAAATATGGAGCTGGATGCTGAGGGCATTTACATGTGTGAAGGCAGGAGGTATGTGGGAACTCTGCACTCTCTGCTTAATTTTGCTGCCAATCTACAACTGCTCTAAAAAAAAAAAATAAATGAATAAAGATTTTTTTTTTAAGAATAATAAGGGACTTATCGCACAACTTGGGAATAGGTAGAAAAAGAGGCACCAACTAAAGAACACCATTCAAAGAAGAAAAATGATACAGCAATAGAGAACCACAGGAAAGTATTTCAAAGGGCAGGGCCAACAAAATTGAAATGTGTTCTAGTTACACTGACTGGGATGCTGAGTAGAATAAAGAATAAGTTTCACAGGTTTAATCACCAGAGGTCATTTATAATCTAAGAAAGAATGGCTTTCAATGGAACTACAGTGGAGAAGTCCAATTGTAGGAAGTGAAAGACATATGATAAAGAAGGTAAATAAATAAAATGAAAGAGGAAAAGAAGGCAGTATACGTGAAATTTCTCAATAAGTTTGATGTCTGCATATTTATGGCTGATCTAAATTTATTTAAAAATATTAAATATCCAAAATTGTGTTCCTCAAGAAACCAATTTCCTCACATAAGTGGATAAAATGTACTTTAAATGAGAAAATAAGCTTTTATTAAATTAACTATTATGCTATAGACTGGTATCAGTATAAATTTAGCCCTTCATCCCATACGAACCAGTGTGTTTTACTTGTTATTAGGGAAAACCGCAAACGCTATAAAACGCTAAAAAGAAATTCCATCTTAGCAAATTTAGCTGGTATAATCCCATGCTACTTTAAAAATAATGTATATGATCACCAAATAACCATTTTTATCCTCTACCACCAGAACTAATTTAGAAAGAATTCCCAGGTTATTAGAATAAACAAAGATGTATTATTTGAACAGCACTATAATATTAAAAAGTATTTCTTTGTATGATAATCATGTATTTGCCTTAATCTACTGGAAAGTCCTATATAATGTATGACCATTAACTTGGATTTTTCCCAAACATATCACTAGGACTGTTTCCTTTATGAATTTCAGCATTACACAATTAAATAAAGCATAAATTTTTCAGCTCTCATCCTAATCAAATTTACCTTTTACTGATATCAATAACAGTACTTTTTATAATAAAATACTAGAAATATTATTGACTGACTGAAGGTCCCTAGAGACAGTGACTGTTTTAAAAAATTTCTCCCTAAAGCTTATTTACATAGTAACTATTGAATGAGTTAACAAACACAAAAATAATTGTAAGTGTGCCATAAAAGATAGGCATACTGCTGAGAAAGTACACAACAACTGATTCATTAGACAGCTTGATAATAAACTTATTATTCAGAACTTATATGGCAACTTGAAGATACAGAATGCAACAACCAAAGCACCAAAAACAGAGCAAAATCCCTAGAAGGTAAGAATAATTTTAAAAAATGATTCAGAATAAAGCAGATATATAAAATAAATTCAAGGTTTCTCATGAGAAAATTGGCATAAAATAAAAAAAGGATTCAAACGTAGCTTTGTTTATATATTGTTTTATACAGTCCATAATTTATACAGATTTCTATTTTATAGGGGTTTTTTTGGGGTTTAAATTTCCAGGGGTTTTTTGTTCTATATCTTACCTTCTAATTTTAATAACCTCTTAGAAATGTACATTTCTTTTTCTCCACAGATAGCAGGTGCCATTTAATTCAATTTATTTTTATATATTTATTTATTTTTTATATGAAATTTATTGTCAAATTGCTCTACAACACCCAGTGCTCATCCCAACAGGTACCCTCCTCAATTTAACATAAATACACAACAAAAAATCCAGAAGAAGGACTATGGTATTATTATGTACTTAACAGACTAGAATTTTAATTTTAGGTCTGTTTTACATAAGAATAGCCATATCATATATGGCACATGAAGTCTGTCCCCTGATGCTGATAATAAAGTGGCATATATAATGTAAGCTGCCTTTAAAACAATCCTTCTTTTGATTTGCAAGTATACACTGGAAAAAATGATTATAAATTTTACTCAAATAATTTTAAATTCCTTGGGGTAATTAAAAAATGATCAAGAGGGGCGCCTGGGTGGCGCAGTCGGTTAAGCGTCCGACTTCAGCCAGGTCACGATCTCGCGGTCCGTGAGTTCGAGCCCCGCGTCAGGCTCTGGGCTGATGGCTCAGAGCCTGGAGCCTGTTTCCGATTCTGTGTCTCCCTCTCTCTCTGCCCCTCCCCCGTTCATGCTCTGTCTCTCTCTGTCCCAAAAATAAATAAATGTTGAAAAAAAAAATTAAAAAAAAAAATGATCAAGAATCTAAATTTCTTTTCTTTCCCCCTTATTGCTCTAGTCTATCTATGAATTTGAGAGAAAAAAGGAGAAAGTGCATTAAACAATGACAACAAAGTTATCATAGGCTCCTAATTACTCACTGAGAATTTCAAAATGAAGTTAAACACATTTACAGAAAAATCTGACTTCAACCAAACTTAACACTTTTTGACAGACTAAAATATTTTCCACTTCCAAATGTCACCATTTTTCTAATTTTGGTAGATAATCCTGGCTTAGTGAGTTAATCCTGCTAATGCTGTAATACTCTCCTGCAAACTGTAGCAAAAGAGAATTTAAGAAAACAAAGTACAATTTTCTTGATAGCATATTTTTCTTACTGCACAATCATGACAATGATGAATCTTTTCTGTTTCCTATAGATGTGGTTTTGTTTTTATTTTTAAGCAGTTAATGAAAATGTAAGCACCTTGAGGGCAGGAACCACTACTGTGTCATAGGTACTATGCTAGGAATTGGGACAAAGATGAAAAAGGAGAATGGAAAGTCATAAGTACAATAAGAAAAAAATATATAATTAGTAGAATAAAAACAATGTTGGATCTATTTTCATGATTATTGGATCTATACTAAAATGAAACAGAACCTCTTATCATGAAATGTACACTTGTTTCAAGTTCTGGTACACTATCTTCTTCCTTTTTTTTTTTTTTTTTTTTTTTTTTTTTTTTTTTTTTTTTTTTTGTAATAAGTAACATTTTAAGTACTATTTCAATTCCCAAATATATTCACATACCCTTCAGGGAGAGTCACTTCTGTGAGTTAATAATATTACAAGATTAGTGTAATAAATATTGATGTGAAGAAAAGGCTCATGGTTTAATTTTTTTTCTTTTATAGTGTGGTCACTTTTTATTAACTACAAAAGGTAAAAATATATTGTAAAATCAGAAACAGAATGAACCCAAAGTACTAATATACCACCACTCAAAATTCAGAAAATATGTTGTTTTCATGTACACATAACACGAAATAAAATAATACCATAACAGAAGGGTGCTGTATCTGTGTTTAAAGAAGGGGTTGTTGGCAAACACCACAGCTCACTTCTGCGGAAATGTACACAACTGATATATGCAGCACAGAAAGCTGGCACCAAGGGCTTACAACCTTAATTTGCCTGTAAGAAGGAACAGAGATTTACCTTCAGAGCACGTTCTTGATTGTTTTCAGCAGTCAGATGTCTCATGTTGTTTGCTGAAGTCTGGTTCTGCTCTTTCAGATGATGAAGCTCCTGCTCTAGCCGTTTGCACTGCCACAAGGGAAGAATCCCATTAAGTAAAGGAGTTATAGCATTTTTTTTTCAAACAAGCCATATGAATTAATGTAAATAATACCACTGCAATCACTAAAAGACAAGGTATCTTTCGCAATAAGAATAGTAAGTTAAAAGTAATGATGAATAAGAACAAAATAATATTGTTTATAGTACTCTGGCAATTCAATTGCAATTATCTTTTATTAATCTAAATATTACCATGAGTTAGTAAAATACTTTGTGCTTTCATAAAATTAAGATCAAACTACATTTAAAATTATTTTCTTCATTGATCAAATGGTTTTTATTAGGTATCTCTTGGTTGAATAAAAACATCTAAAAATCACATGGGGTTCCAAGTAAACCTCAATATGGTATTCTGTATGAATTTTTATTAAATTTTTTAAAATAGCAATTATAAAATACGTATTAAGAGGTTTTCCAGATTTTTAGAAATATCTAAGGAAACAATTGTGTAAGGAAGAAAGTAGTAACTATAGTGCTATAGGTTTGGAAACAACTAAGGAAACAAATGTTTTTCATTTCTATTTTGGCTAAACCTTATTTTTAAGTAAAACAAGTGATAACAAACATGAAATGACATTCTGACCTACAGGAAATATATGAGAATATAAGTAAAAAAAAGAAATTATAAATAAAAGCATAAACAGGCATCTATGTTAAAAAATAATTGAACTATGACATTTGAATACAAGATCTTCATATAAATATATCGAACATTTTACACAATAATTATAAAGTGATGTGCTGTAATTCAGGACCATATCAAGATACATGGGGGGATTAGCTAAAGGAATAAAGTACTAAAGCCATCTTTCAGGAAAAAAGTTAAAAAAATCACTCCTTAATTTATCTATTTGTAAGTTAGAATATTTAAGGGATGCCTGGCTAGCTCAGTTGGATAGAACATGGGACCCTTGGTTGTGATTTTGAGCCCCATGCTAGAAGCAGACATTACTAAAAAATTAAACTTAAAAAAATTAGGATATTTAAGTAACACCCAGTAAGTAAATACCTATACAAAGTTAATTCTAGATTAGTTGACAAGTGGCTAGTTGTCCTAATGAATTACAAATCATTATTACAAAATAATCAAGATACAGTCATAATCCAATTTGGCATCTAACATTGATTTTTTTGCCTCTGACCTCTATAATATTTAGTCCATATCAGTATTTCTCAAGCCTTAGTAATATACAAATCTTTTTATATTTTTTATTTTTTTAAGTTTGTGTATTTATTTTGAGAGCGTGCATGCACACATGTGCACGTGAGCAGGAGAGGGGCAAAGAGAGGAAGAGATTTACAAGCAGGCTCCGTGCTATCAGTGCAGAGAGCAGGGCTTTGATCCATGAACTGTGAGATCATGACCCTAACCAAAATCAAGAGTTGTGATCCTTAACCGACTGAGCCACCCAGGCGCCCCACAAATCCTTTTAAAAGAAATGTCATACCAAACTGCTGATATTGACTTAAATTATAGAATGATGTTACAATACAACATTGAATATACATGCCTCATGCATATATAATACAACTGTAAAACCAAAATAATTTATAAATGAAGTAAAATAATCACAAAATCAAGATTTTTAAAATATTAATTTAATTTACCAGATAAAGTTTTGTTGAAATTAAGTTCTGCACATATAGTGCTGACTATATTATAGTCAAATATAATATAGTGGCAGATCATTTCATGTTGCCATGAATATTCCAACATGTGCTGTGTGACAACTTGAATCACTTATCACGTTTTTAAGGGTGCCTGGGTGGCTCAGTCAGTTAAGCATCCAACTCTTGATTTCGGCTCATCTCATGATCTCATGGTTCATGGGATCAAGCCCCACTTTGGACTCTGTGTGACAGCATGGAGCCTGCTTGAGATTCTCGCTCTCTCTCTCTCTCTCTCTCTCTGCTCCTACCCCACTCACTCTCTCTCTCAAAATAAATAAATAAGATTTTAAAAAATTACTTACCACATTTTAAAAATGATTTGAGTGAAACCTTTGTGACCTTCATTTGGAAGGGACACATGATTTACACATGATTTATATCTGTCCCATTTTGCCTGTAACAATTCAAATATTTGCTCATAAATGCAACCAAAACATAAATGTGTTTTGTGAAGACACAAATCATGAGGCATGAAAACGAGTAAGACATAGCAGTGAGCATCACAATCCAGCAGAAGTATTCTTTACTAGAATTAACCTCTACATTTTCAATTGATTTTAATACAAAATTATTACATATTAAGTACTTAAACGGAATGACTATGACTTATGAGGTTACAAATGTGGGGGAGATAATTTTGGCTATGGGATAAAAGAATGTCTCATGGAGCTGATGACATCTGAGTTGGGCTTATTCGGGGAACATGATTTTATAAGTTGAATGAAGAAAAAGAGGAAGAACACAGGAGGAAAGGTAGAAATGTCAAGGGTGTGCTTGAAGAAAGTGAGAAATCATGGTCACAAGTTGACCACCTATTTAAGTAAGGAAGTAAGTAGGAAATCAGAAATAACCCAGGGATAGAGACTTCTTTCCTACTTACATAATACACAAAATATGAAACACTGTAGTCAAACAGAGAAGTATAACTTAAGAACAATAAAGCTACTGTTGACCTGAGGGCATTTATCCACACTGCATACTTGGGCTCAGTTTCCATGGCCATGAAGTACAAGAGGGATAGAAGATAAGGCCCAGGGACCACTCAAACTAGCAAGTGTCCTAAAGGACTACACTTTCAAGTTGTTTAATGATCCTCCCTACTTTAATGAACGAAAAGAAAGAAGACAAATGCTAGAGAAAATGCATGTTGCTAGATCAAGTATTACATAACATCTTCCATGGTTTCAGAGTTTCATTTTGAACTAGCATAATTAAAAATAATACTTTCCCTGATTATATTCTGCCAAATATTAATATTCTTTTTTTTTTTTTTTTAACATTTTATTTTATTTTTGGGACAGAGAGAGACAGAGCATGAACGGGGGAGGGGCAGAGAGAGAGGGAGACACAGAATCAGAAACAGGCTCCAGGCTCTGAGCCATCAGCCCAGAGCCCGACGTGGGGCTCGAACTCCCGGACCGCGAGATGGTGACCTGGCTGAAGTTGGAGGCTTAACCGACTGCGCCACCCAGGCGCCCCCCAAATATTAATATTCTTAAAAGTTCTAATGAATAAATTGAGACTTAGGAGATTTCTTACATCTTTTAAACTTAAAAAACATTTTTTAAATTGAACTTAAGTAAATGCTATCTGTATACTGTTACAGTGCCCTTGGGAACTAGGGCTCATATCAAATGAGACGAAAATAAAGACGAAAGATAAAATACGTAAAAAACCTTTTAGTTCAGAAATTGAACTGAAGAATCAGTATGAGGATACAAAGGGTTTTACCTTTAAAAAATATGTGTGTTTGTGTATTTCCTAGTTCTGCCCATTGAAAAAGACAGAAATAACAGGAAATCCGGTAGCAATAAGTACTTTTAACACCTACCCTATGAGTTTCAAGTACCATTTCCTACTAAAAATATAGGACTCCATGTATATATGGCTGACTCCAGGTCTGGGACAAGAAATATACAATATGATCCAAGAACACATGTTCTTAGCAGAAGTTTTGTATTAATCAGGACTAAGAAATTATCAAAGAGACTCAGAAAGCACTCAGTAGAAAACTTGAAAAGCTCTCCTGTAGCTAAAGATGAGACAATATGATCACCAATAGGGATAGTAAGTGAAATATATTGTAACACACAGAATATGTTTAAACTATTAAATTTATAATTACAATAAAATTTTTAAAAAACTAATTAGCACTGTGGGGGAATTTATAAGCCAAGAATTTATCTACCCTTTCTTATATAAACTTTACCACTGGGTAGTCAAAGAATAGATAAGAAAATGGCTATGGAAGCATCCAAGCTAATAAAAAAAAAAAAAAGGAGTATTAGAATATCACAATTTTGAAGTCATTAATAAACTAAGAGATACTAATATACTGAGATCATTAATAGACCACTGAGACCTGTTAATAACTCACGTAGTTCTTTCACAAACCAACATGTATTCCCAGATAAAACACAAAACTACCTGTAAAGCAGTCTTGGTAACAAACAGTAATCTAAATCTGATCAAGCCTATAGATACTTACAGAGAAGAGAGGAATACATTAAATGACACTGCAGAGATGCAATCAATAAACTGGGAAACTACAAGAAAACGGACTCAATGTGTTTAAAAAATAAACTCCAAGGACAAAAAGAGATAGAAAGGGAATCTATAAATTAAAAATAGTGTTAAGAGTCAATTCAGTCATTTGCAATGTGTAATTCTTATTAAATACAGATTCAAACAAAGAAGAAAGTTATGATATTTATGGAATGACTGGAATTTGAAAACTGATCAGATGCTTCACAATACTCTTTGTTAATATTTTTGTTGTGATAATGATACTGTGGTTATAAGCAACAGTTCATATCTTTTAGAAATACACAATGTAAGGAGCGCCTGGGTGGTTCAGTTGGTTAAGAGTCCAACTTTCAGTTTCAGCTCAGGTCATGATCTCACAGTTCAGATCAGGTCATGATCTTCACGAACTCAGGTCATGAGTTTGAGCTCTGTGGAGGGCTCTGGGAGAGCCTGCTGGGATCCTCTCTCTCCCTCTCTCTCCGCCCCTCTCCTCATTCACTCTCTCTTTCTCTCAACATGAATACACTTAACAAAAGAAAAAAGAAATACACAATAAAAGTTACAGATAAAAAGGATATTATATCTGGTATTTCCTTCAAAATAACATGAGAAAGAATAAATGAGAGGGGGATAGAGATAAAAAAAAGATAGACAGCTGTAGCATGGTAAAAATATCTCAGGGGCTCAGAGATTCTGTGGTCTGTAGGTTCACTGATAAGAAAAAAAGGATTAAAATTTTCTCTATAAACAAACAATTCTACAGTGCGAGT